ATGTCTTGCATGCTGCGCATGTGTGGCCCCCAATTAACAGCTAGGAAGAATCCAGTCTGTGATGCTGGGATGCACCGACACCTTCTACAGAGCACCCCCAGGGACATCTCTCGAAGAACTAAAGATCCTCTATAAAAAAATGCAAATTCCACATTTTTCCATGGCAAACATAATTCTCGGATCCCAGTGCCATAGGTACCAAAAGTTTTTCCTGCAGTTCCAGGAACACAACAGAACTTGGTGGTGGCACTAATGATGTTGGTATTGAGGGGATCGAGGATTCCACTGAAACCAGTGTCTTGCTAGTAGTAGTATTTGGTACCTCTTTACCACTGTGGTATGTATTTTAGTTGAAGTGTTAGAATGCTTTGTGGTACCAAAAGTACTTGGAGCCTCACTAGGACTCCTTTTGGAGCTCTTGGTCTCCAGTGACCAGATCTTTGATGAACTCCTCTCTGTTCTGCTCCTCTGATTTCTTTCCTTACACACTGAGTAAGAAACTCTCAGTACCAGCAGTGCAGGTATTGGTACCTCACTCATGGAGATTGATGGAAACTGGATTTTCAATGCTGTCTTACCTTTGGTGACCGTGATCTTGATGACGGAGCACTGACAGAAGTGGAGGGTCCCTATATACAGCACTCTCTACAAACAGGTCAGCAGCTGGTCTCAAGGCTTGCTTCACCATTAAAAGCCTATACTTTATTTCCCTGTTCTTGCAGGATCTTCCTTTAAAAGAAGACCAGATCTTACACTTGCTGGGAATATGAGAACCTCCAACCAACAAATGCATTGGGAATATCCATCACTAACACAGATTACTTCTCAACAAAAGGAGCACTTTTTAGAATCCAGCATCCTTGCGCAAGGAAATTTGATCAAGACCCTCAATGGGAAAAAAACATTTTTTAAAAGAAAGGGGAGAAAAGGGGAGAAGTGTTCTAACAACTATAAGGTACTAAATCTACTACGACTGAGATGTAATTATGAAAGCTAAATACAAGAGACAACAGGAACACTGCTAGACTCCATCTCTGGCCAAAGACAGTTGAAAAGGAACTGAAAGTGGTTCACTCATGCAGCTGTATGTAGCCTTGGCATAGGGCATGAGGATGTGTGGGGCACATACCTGGGCTGAATGGACATTGCTACCAGAAATTTCTGACCAAAGGCACAGGGGCACTACTTGAACTAGTGGAGCAGCCACAAGGACACTACTTGAAGAAGTTTATGTTCCAAACCCCCCAAGTGATCTGTTCTAACTTGTTCTAAAATAAAAAAAAATATGATTCTAAACAGATGCATTACCAATTACAGAGTATTATTTTGTGAATTTACTTGAAAGTTAGCAGAAAATACTGACAAGCCTCAGGAGTAACCGTCTTAGTCTGTATTTGCAAAAATAAGGAGTCCTGTGTCACCTTGAAGACTAACAGATTTATTTGGGCATCAGCTTTTGTGAGTAAAAAGACAAGTCATATGCATAGAGTGGAAATCACAGACAGAGGGTTTTGATGTGTTTTTAAAGAACGGCTACTTTTAAATCTGTTACCTTTCTTAATGTCTGATTTGTGTCCATTTATCCTTTGGCATAGAGACTGTCTGATTTGGTCAATATACTTGGTAGAGGGGCACTGCTGGAACATACTGGCATATATCACATTAGTAAATGTGCAGGCGGATGAGTCTTTGATGGTGTGGCTGGTGTGGTTAGGGCCTGTGATGATGTTGCTTATTTGATGTGGACAGGGGTGGCAACAGGTTTGTTGCAGGGATACATTATTGGTTAGTGTTTCTGTGGTATGGCTGCTAGTGCGTATTTGCTTCAGGTTGGGGGGCTATCTGTAGGCATGGATTGGCCTGCCTCCCAAGGTCTGTGAAAGCGAGGGATTGTTTTCCAGGATAGGTTGCAGATCAGGGATCGGCAACCTATGGCTTGCGAGCCAAATATGGCTCACTAAGGAGCTAGATATGGCACTTCTAGAGTCCCAACTCAGCACACCTTTTTCCCCCAGCAGCAGGGAGCCAGCACTGGCACTACAGCCTTATGGCCCTCCGCAAAATTGGAACGCCTGCTTGGGGGTAGGGGAGAAAGCCCCAAGCCTCCCACCAAATCCAGTGCGCAGGGAACAAGCGGAGCAAAAAATGTCTCAGTGTGCTGCTCTTTTCCTTCCCTCTGCAAGAAGGAAACAAGCAGCCAAAAATGGCTCCATGAACACTGCCCTTTTCATCCCCTGGGAAACACTTCTCTGGAGGCTTCCCTTATGAATCCTTCCTGGAGGCTTCCAGGGAATGGGAGCAGCAGGACGCCGTGTTACATGGTTCCTGCTATGTGGGGCAAAAACAAGTAAGTGCCCTCCACCCCCTTGTGCCCAGACCTCAACACACACACACACACACACACACACACACCGTGGCCAGACACCCCTTGCCCTCTGCCCCCTGCCAGGAAGCCAGCCCCCAGCTCACTCATGCCCCCTTGCCAGGCAGCCTGCCCCTTGGCCAGACCTCACCCCCTCCGCTCCTATCCAGATACTCAACTCCCATACCTATCCCATTGACTGGAAGCCCTGTCCCACACATTTAACCCCTAACTTTTAGCCTCACACCAGAGCCTAGGGGAGACCACAAAATCCACTAACCCTGGAACCCAAGAAGAATAAAACTGGCCTGAGACCTTGAACCTCAGTCCTCTCTGCCCCTACCACTACTATGGGTCTGGAGCACCAGAGGAGTGAGATGTTTCAGTTGGGGGTCACATCAGTGAGGGTTGGGATTTTTTGCTTGTTTTTTTTGGGGGGGGGAGGCTTCACTCTGCATTTATGAGGTCCCTGATTGATTTTTTTGTGATTTCCCACTCCTGCCATAAATCAAGACAATGTTGAAACCTTTTGAGTTGGACATAATAATTGTCCTTTATTTAAAAATGAAGCCTGGCCAACAAGCCCTCAATTGGGGCCCAACCCCCATCTCACCGCAGCATCATAACACTCCTGCACACCCCCCACACCAACCCTGAACCTATCATACACCTGAAACCTCTGCCCTTAGCCCCTCACACCCCCACATCCCCAGACTCCTATACCCTCGCATACCCAGTTCCCTGCTGTAACGCTCCTGCACCTCCACACACCCCAACCTTGTGCCCTACGTCCATCATACATTCAATCTCCTGCCCTGAGTCCTCATACATCCCAACACAGGATCCTGCATCCCCACATCACTAGCCCCCTGCCATAAGATTGACAGAAGACAGTCTGAATGTATGCATGAAGTTGGATTTGACACAAGTTATCATATAAACTTTAAAGAAATGTGTGAAAAGATGCAGCACCAGAATTCCCATTAAATAAAGTCTGTGAGTACAATGTTTCATGCTATTATTAATCATTATGTCAATTATCAATAATATTATGTTGTATATTTGCAGTCATGCAAATAAGCATTCTTATATGGCTCTTTGCTAATCACTTGTTCGGAATTTTGATGTAGTTTGGCTCTTTGGTTTGAAAAGATTGCCAACCCCTGTTGTAGATTGTCAATAATGCACGAGAGGGGTTTTAGCTAGTGGTTGTAGGTGACAACCAGTAGTGTTCTGTTATTTACTTTGTTGGGCCTGTCCTGATGTGGTCGCTTTCTAGGTACTCAGCTGGCTCTGGCAATCTGTTTTGTCTGGCTCTGGCAATCTGTTTCTTCACTTGATCAAGAATTCTTAAAACTAAAATACCCACCTGATGAAGTACTATGCTAGTACATACATATATCCCTACCTCTGATTTCCACTCCTTACATCTGACTAAGTGGTTTTTATCCATGTAAGCTTAGGCCCAAATAAGTTTTTTAGTTTTTAAGGTACCACAGAACCCCTCATTGTTGTTGTTTTTTTAAGAAAATACTAATGTTTGAACAGAATCTGAGTGGAAATTGCACCCACAGTAGATATGTTCTGTGACCACCAACAAAGCTACTCAGGTGTTTTGTGGTTACTCCTAATACAGTAAGTCTGATAGCATTAGGTGCACACAGCACTACCAGGAGATGATCCCTATTTGGTTTGACAGATCAGATTACCAGATGTCAAGTCCAGACACAAACTGCTGTGAATGAATATCCTCCCCTAATCAGTGGAGCTAAGCGTGTCACAGAAGCACCGTGCAAGGCATCCCTTCTAAAAGGTTACTATTTTGACTCCTCTCAATTAAATGGGCAGACAAGAGAGACCCCAAAAGGAAACAAAACAACATAAATCAGCAAGAAAGCTCAGTGCTGAGAATGAGGTTGACTGCATCCGAAGAGGTAAAGAGCATCAGAGGAACTTTTAACCCCTTCTTGCATGGTCTCTGGCAGACTTTACACAATTTCTCTCTTTTCATCTAGTAAGCTGATAAAATATTTAAAATATTTTAAAATATTTGTATCCTAAAGCTGTTCTCTGCAGGTGGACCACAATAATGCAAGAGACACAGAGATACCCTACTAAAAAAGATAAGCGTCAGTTACATGTTCTTTACTATTTTTCTTTCCTTATGTCTACAGATAGGAGTTTATTTTATTTGAAATATAAATACTTGTGTCATCTTGAATTTGCCACTGGTCAATTTAATGTTTGTAGCCTAGATTTATATGCCAGTAATTTAAGAACGTTCCATGTGAAGTTGAGCACTTAATTACAAAAAACTTCATTTAAGCCATAAATATGTCCAAGGGTTCCTAAATTTTAGAAATCCTGAATAATCTGGTAGACATCTGTCTATCTGTGTCTGGGTGATTCATATGGAACTGGTTATCCTTAAACATTCAATGGTTAGAAAATCAAGGGACCGCTGCTGTAAAGAATGGAGGAGATGTGGGGTTTGGCACTGGATTGTGTTACGCATCTCATCGGGCATAGAAGCCACAGAAACAATGAAGCCCCAGTACAGATCTGAATTATGCACTAATCTGGATCCAAGTGGGCTTAGCTGCCATAGGAAGAGGAATCTGAGATAAAAATCACTCACCTTGTTATAACAGACTATGAATTCGCCCAGTTGGTGAGCCAGGATACGTCTACGATCATTCAGAGCCAAACGTCGACTGGGAAGTAGCATCCTCAAAGACTGCTGAAGATTGCTGGCTGCTCGTTTCAGAAAACGTACCACCAGCTCCTGCCACCAAGGGAGACAGCATTAACAAGAGAGTCTAGATGGGCAGGTGCAAGGTGTGGGGCAAAGTGCCCAGGAGTTGCTAGGTCAGTCCATGATGGGTAGAGAAGAAACACTGTTATATAGCTGTGGGATGACAAGTAACCTAGAATACATCCTAGAATGGTCATGGTAGTGGATGGTTTTTCCACCTATTCCCATAAATTCCCAAAATAAGGTGGAGAAAAAAAGTTACCTTTTTCCATAACTGATGTTCTTCGAGATGTGTTGCTGTCCAGTCCATATGAGGTGTGTGTATTTGCCACACACAGCAGTTCCAAACGTTTTTTCCCTCAACAGTATTTGTAGGAGATTGGCTCTAGCATTTCCTGGAGTGGCACGTGTGATGGGATCCATCACTGAGCCCACTTGGGACTGTCACTTGATGGGCTGAATTAACACTGAGACCATCTTTCTGCCCTCACCCTTAACTATGTTCTGCAGAGCCAGGCCCTCAGGTCTCCTCCATCAGTGACACAGAGCTAGGGTCACAGCCCTCTGCAGTATAATACAGACATTGAGATCAGATCATCTTAGGGAAGGCTCGGCTACAGGGACTTGCCTTGGTACCCAAATGCATCGCCTCAATGGGACCTGAACCTCAGATAAATCCATCTTACTCTGTATAAAGTTTTATAAATGGTAAGCTCATGTTTGCCCTCTCTCTCAGGATAAAGAGAGATATGCACAGATTCCTTGTCCCCTAACAATAATTTACAATGGGTTTACAAACAAACAAAAGTGATTTTATTAAACATAAAAGGTAGGATATAAGTGGTCATAAGAGACAGCAGACAGAACAATGTAGATTATTAAACAAAAACAAAACAGAAAATGAAAGCAAAGCTTAATAAAGACTGGAAAGCCTCCCTGTCTGGGCTCAGTCCTTCCCCCCCCATTCAATCTTAGATGTTTCCAGCACTCATCTTGCATGGGGTAGCCAGGGAGAACCGATCACCTAGATTATCTTACTCCCCATTCTTAAATAGGTTTTGCATAAAGTAGGAATTTATTGTGTTCGGTCTAACCCCTTCCTAGCGTCTCATGGAAAAGTACAGGATTTAAGATGGATTCCGGTATCAGATGATATGGTCACATGTCTTGGTAGGAGCCATGATAGCCCTTCTTCCCAGGCTTACAGGCAAAATGGTTTATTCACAGATCATTGTTCTGAGTATTGGACCATTATGTTCCTTAAGTACTACTAATGGCTTTCGCTTACTAATGTAGTCATGCTAACACATGTTTATACTTCATATTTTTATATTCAAATACAGGAATTATACACACATACAAATTGAATAATCATATTCAGTAGATTACTAGTTTTCCAATTATATCAAACAGGAAATATACTGCATATTTCAGTTATATTATATTCATATCCATATTTTCATAAAGCCCACGATAGAGGCACCACCAGCTTCCCTTACCCTCAGTTTCTCTTTGCCAGAAATCTGACAGTGGGAAAGGAGGACATGAGCAACACATCTCAAACACCATTTATGGATAAAGGTAACTGTCTTTTCTTCTTCAAGTGCTTGCTTGTGTCCATTCAATATTAGGTAACTCCCAAGCAGTACCATCGGAGGTCGATAGGCGTTCACAGAGGTGCAGATTGCAACACAGTGTCATCGCTGGCTTGCTGCATGATGTCGTAATGCACAGTGAATGTGTGAATGGAGCACCATGTTACAGCTTTGCAAGTATTCTGGATTGAGATGTGCGCCAGGAAAGTGGCTGAGAACACCTGAGCTCTACTCAAAGAGGGCTCTGACCAGTGGGACCCCTGCCAGCTCATAACAGGTCTTTATGCAAGAGGTGATCTTGTTGGAAATCTTCTGTGTACACATTGGAAGGCCCTTCATCCTTTTCACTGTAGCCATGAAGAGCTGGGCTGATTTCCTGAAGGGCTTGGTACACACAATGCCTTTCTAAAATCTAGCGCATGGAAATGTCTTGCCTCACTGTTTTGTGTGATTAGGAACAAATAATCAAACGAAAGAAGTCCTGGTTTACATGGATGGTAGATATGACCTTTGGCAAGAAAGCCAGGTGTGGCTGAAACTGAATCTTGTAATTGTAATAAATATAGGGCCTTTGTAATACTTGTCTTTGTCAGGGCCTTAATTTAAAAAAAAAAAAAAAAAACAGTCTTGGTCAGCACCACCAGGAAAGTGAGTTTCCAGGATAGGTAGGAAAGGAATCAAGAGTCCCTCATTTTGAAGGGCAGGCCCATGTGCCTGGAGAGAACCAAGTTAAGATCCCATGGCTGAACAGAGGTCCACACCTGCAGTAAGAGTGACTTGATGCCTCTCAAGAATCTGACTATGATGTCATGAGAAAACACCATCTGACCCTGAATCAGTGGATGGAAAGGAGAGATGACCGCAAAGTGCACTCTAATGAAGAAGCATACCAGACTATAGTTCCTCAGGTGAAGTAGGTAGTTTAAGATAATCTGAACAGGAGAACATGACAGAGAGGTGCCATGCTCCCAAGTCCAGCAAGAAAACCTCATTCACTTTGCTAGATTTAGTGATGCCAAGATGAGATGCAATAGCTGACATTGGTCTTGTGACAGCAGGTCCAGACTATTGGGCAGTGGCCAGGATGGGGCTGTTGCCAACTTTATGAATGTGCTCAACCAGTGCTGGCGAAACCTCGCTGGGGTGATCATAATGTGTGGTTTGCCTTTCTTGATTTTTGTCAGTACTCTGCTGATGAGCAGAATTGGTGGGAACACAGATCATGTCCCTCAACCATAATAGAAGAAATGCATCAGAGACGGATCCCCTGCTCAGGCCTTGTCGGAACAGAACCAATGGCACTTCCTGTTCTGTCTAGTAGTGAACAGGTCCATTTGGGGAGTTCCCCACCTCCGGAAGATCATGTAGGCTTCCTCCAAGTGGAGTGACCACTGGTGGTGACTCATGAGAGGAGAAGTCCCTGCTGAGCTGGTATGCTAGCGTATTTCTAACACTGGGGAGGTGACAAGCTTTGCTTGGATTTTGTAGCTGATGCATAAGTCCCATAGATGGAGTGCCTCTTGACAGAGAGGTGACAAGCACTACACATGACAGCTGGACTGCTCTGAGATCTTTGACATTTATGTGCGATTTTGTATCCTCCTGGAGAGAAGTGTTTTCCCTTTCAAAGGAACTCTTTTGTCTGGACATGGCCATCCTCTGCTTCTCCAGCCTGCACTCACACTGCTTGCCACCACCAGTGCCTCCTGCCTGCTGCCCTGAGGCTGCAGATAAGCCTTCCTCGCTACCCTGCTCCAAGGTTGCCAACTCTCCTGGGGGGCTTGCTCCCCTTCCTCTTCCATGAGGACCAGGAGGAATCCCTCCAGGTTGTCACCTGGCCAGGTACCGATGATAGGGGCAGTGATGTGGCCGCGGGCAGCACCCGAGGCCTCAAGCATGAGGGGCCCTCGATGGATGGGCCCTCCCCTGCACCTGGTAGTAGGCCCACAGGGTCCAGAACAGTCACTGTTCTGGTTGTTGCTACTATGGCGACCAGGTCTATTGCACCAAGTGGCCCAAAGCGCTGTGATGGTGCAAGTGGTGCTAAGACCTGGAGTGGTGCCGAGACTGGGAACGGCACCAAGACCCGGAACTAAACCGACTCCGCATTGGAGTCTGAGGAGTATTCGGACTCTGACCATGGCAGTGCTGAAGATGGGCCCTAGGAACGGTACCAAGGGGGGTGACAGACCATTACCGCTGGCTTGCCTTAGTGGTGAATGGGCAGCAAAGGCATCAGATGCTCCAGTGCCAGGGATTGTGCCAGTGGGATGGGGGCATTGGAGGATGAGCTCTCCCACGACTCCCAGGAGAGCGTTGCCACTGGTTCCATGGCCACAGCCAGTGCCATAATTGGCATCAAAGTGTGTGCTGGTGAGAGTGGCATCACATGTTCTGCTGGGCCTGAGGTCATCGGCAAGGGCTCAGCTGGTGCCAGCCTCGATGATTGTCTGCCCGGGTCCAGTGCCAATGCCTTGGTGCGGGCACAGCGATCACAGTGCACCAAGAGGAGTGAGGGTGGGCTCGAGGTCAGTTCTATCAACTCACGCGGTTGCCTCAAAGGTGTCTGGCGTGGAGAGTCCATCGATGAGCACCAGCTCCTCCTCTGGGTTCCGTTCCCTGGCTGCGCTTGACTGGCTGCACATGGGCCCAGGAGCAGCAAGCCTTGAGGCCAGCACCAGTACATCAGGGTGCCCTGACTGGGGGTGCACCATGGGCACATGCCAAGGCAGCGATCTACCCCTCTCCACCCTTTTTTTCTTACAGGGCACCAGGGTTTGAGAGCGGTGCTGGGCAGAAAGGCATCTTGACACTGTTGAGGACCCAGAGGAACTTGGTGCCTACCACACTGAGGACAGTGCACCTCAGTGAAGTGTTTTCAGGCGTGAATCTCTCGCCTGCTGGGTCCGAGGCTTGACACTATGGCAAATCTTTCAGTTTGCTGGGACATAAGCCTCACTGAGACACTTCAGGCATGAATTGTGCAGGTCCCCACAGGGCATAGGCTTAGTAGAGTTTGCACAGGGCTTAACTCCGTGAGGCCTTGGCATGCCCCAGGGGTGGGACAGGAGGCAAAGGGGACCCAACAGTAACACTAACTAAATAGATAAACAACAACTTAATTGCCTAACAGGGAAAGCAACTTGGAGAAACAATGGGACCAACTAGGTGCTAACTAACTACAAATACCACTGGGACCATGCTTGCAAGCAAGTGAAATAAGAGCTCCAACAACCTGTCATGGGTAAGAAGGAACTGAAGGGGTGGAGAGCCAGCAGGAGTATAAATGCATTACTATAGAGGCACCACTCCAGGGGACTTCCCAGCTGGCCCGATGGGTACCACTAAGGGAAAACTTTATGGCAATCTGTGCATGCAGTTGAATGGACATGAGCACGCAATCGAAGAACAGTCTATGTGGGGTCTTACACACCAAAGCCTTGGGCAGCAGAAGGGGGTGCTGGCCTCTGTGTGGCTCCTGAGATCAATCAACAGCCAAGAAGGTTGGGTGAACCGTGGATACCACGCTGTCAGTCTCTGAGCTTGGGGATATAGGGCAGGGTTTGGTGCTGAAGATAAGGACTGCACAGTAGGTACCAGCGCTTGTCCTATAGCCAGGTAACCTCATTCTTTGCCAGTGCTGTACACAGAATAGTTGGTGCCAGGCAACCAGGATAGGGTGAAGTCACTATGTCCCAAAGCTGACCTGTCCAAACAAGATGAGCAACTTGGTCAGGATCTCAGGGACCGACAGCATTTGGTAGATTTGCGTCACATACTGGGTGATCTATGCATCCCACTACTCGACTGGTACCAGGACATCAAATGGGAGTGGGAGCTAATATGAGCCAGTTGTCGGGAGTAACTTTCTGAGTAGTGCAATCTCCTTCCCAGAGACTGGTGATAAGGGCTTGGCAATCAGCAATTGCTGATTCCCGATCATTCCTGTAATCAGTATCAAGCCCTTGGAAATAGTTACGGTCAGTATTGCCAGGCAGGATGTGCCTCTAAGACCGTGGTCCCCAACGCGGTGCCAGTGGGCGCCATGGCGCCCGCAGGGGCATTTATGTGTGCCCGCCAAGTCTGAATTAGGCACACCCCAATGCAGGGGCGGACTGGCACGGCACAACAGAGCCACCGGGCTCCGCACTACTGCACCGGAGCTGGTAGGGGCGCTGCTGGCACTTACAGCCCCGTCAGAAGACCCCACCGGGCCAAGGGACTCCGACAAGGAGGCCGGCAAGCTGACCCCGGCCGGGGAAGGTACTGGGCCCAGGAAGGGAAAACGGGCATGGCTGAGAGAAGCACGAGCATGCGCTGTCAACCTGGGTGGAGCCAGGGCTGCACCGGGGGTGAAGTCACATGCGGTGCACCGGAGGGGGTGGTGCCACATCGGTGTGGCGTTGCGGCGCCGTTTTTTAAAATGGCCAGCTGTGGCTCAGGGAAGGAGGAGGAAGGAGATGTGCTGAGTGGGGCATGAGGGAGCAGAGCCTGGCTAGAGGCAGGACAGCGGTGAGCACATCTGGCAGGGCGGTAGTGCTGTGATGGGTGGAGGAGATACAAATGCCGGAGGAGGGAGGCAAGTGGAGACAATGAGAAAAAGGGCAGGAGGGGAGGTGTCAGTGGGAGGGGGGACAGGGTGATGCTGGGAGAGGATAGGGTAAGGGCACTGGGGCTAGAGTGGGGAAGTGCTGGGAGAAGACTTGAAAGAAGGGATGGGCATGAGGAAGGCGGGGATGGAGCAAGTCAGGTGTGAGGGCACAGGGGAATGAGGGGAATGAGGGCAGAGGGAGGTGAGGGAATGGACATCAGGGAAAAAGGGGGCAGAGGCAGTGAGGGAAGGGGGAGGCACCACGAGGGTGCAGGGCTAAGGGAAGGTGCAGGTGCCAGGGGATTCTAGGGGTAAAGCAGAAGGGCAGACACCTGCAGGGGAGGTACCAGCACCAGAGGAGAGAGGCAGGGCAGGTGTGTAGAGGGAGGTGTTAGGAGAGGGGATGAGGAGGGGTAGCTCACATGATCAGAGTGGGGCTACTGGAGGAGTGGGCACAGGGGGCAGAGAAGGGCTGGTGGAGGAGGGCAGGTCTCAGGAAGGCTGAGGGCAGTGAGAAGGGCAGGAGTCAGGACAGCAGAGGAGAGTGAGGAGTTGGGGGGCAGCAGGCACCAGGGAAGCTGATGAAGCAAGGGGAAGAGACATGGTGGGGATGGGGAGTGTAAGATTTAAAGGTGTCATGATTTTTTTTGGAGGGAGGGTGCTTTTTTTGCAACAACATTTGGACATCCCCCCTTTTTATTAACGCAGAATTTTGTTTAAAAATTACAACATAATTAACAAAAATTATCCAACTAAATTAAGTTTCTATCAAATTTACCCAATTCACATTTAATATGAAAATAGTAAATTCACATGGTAAGGTGAAAGAGTAATTGCTGAATAACTTAATTAATACCTTTTACATGTAAAATTACCTTTTTTATCTTAGGATTCATATATTAAATATGATGTTTTTCGTATTCTTTAATATACAAATACAAAATAAGCCTTGAAAAATTGTTGGCGCCCGCCACACTCTTCTGAAAACATGAATGTGCTATTGGCCACAAAAAGGTTGGGGACCACTGCTCTAAGAGCTGTGCCAATCAGTGCAAGAACCAAAGAGGGCTTTGCCCGGCCCGATGCTCCAGTTTGGAGGCATGACAGTGTCAGGCAGGTGAGCAATGGTGAGACATCCCTTTTGATGGGGAATGATGCCACTGAGGAGAGGGGGCCCACAGGTAGGTCCCAACATGGGTTTTCCCCAAGACCAGGATATCACTAGAGCTGCTTGAAGAACTTCAGGCGTCAATGATGCCTGAAGCTGGCTGGGGCCAACACCGCTATCTGGGATCATAAGCAAACCATGGGATGGACTGCACTACTGGACTGTAGATAGGGCCCAGCTTCTCAAAGGGTGCACTGAGTAGGGATGTGATAGTGTATTCATGTAAATGATTAACTGATGAGCCCAGGCTCATTGATTAACCTTCACAGTTGCATGCAGCCCCCCTGCTGCCTCTGTTTCTGTGGCACTTGGTGTAGTGTTGGACCATTGCTCCACGGCTGGAATGAGAGCTGAGTCCATTAGGATTACCATCACATGGATATCACACTCATTCTTTGTCCTAGGTTTAAAGTACTTGCAGATACAGCACTTGTCATCATGTACCCTTCGCCTAAGCATCTTAGACAACTGATATGCAGATCACCAGGGCTCGACAAACCGCTGATTCTACTCGCCCATGGCGAGTAGATTTCAGCCGGTCGCTCCATGCGCCCCTTCACCAGCGCTGCGTGCATGTGTGGTGCCAGTCTGGCGCATGCATGGTGCGAGGCTGGTGAGTAGCTGTCACCACAGTTTGTCGAGCCCTGCAGATCACTAATGGGCATCGGCCATTTGCAGCAATTGTAGGTCTGAAAGCCTGGAGACTGGGGCGTGCCCTATCCTCCAGCTGAGTCCCATTCAAGACTAAAAACTTTAAAAAACTACTACTAAGAATAACTAACTGTAACAACATCTATCTACAACTATACTACAAGTTCCATCAAATTTGTACGAACAGAAAACAAGACAACTCTAGCTGAAGTAGCAGAAAGTTTCGGCATTGGCAGCAAGAAGGAACTGAGGGTAAGACAAGACAGCAGTGTCCCTTAAACCAGGGACGTGTGTGCTCCTGGGGCACCAGAGCATGTCCCCATGGATACTGCTGAGGGAAAAAACTCCCAGTACTGGTGCATGTAGCAAGCACACACACCTAATATGGAATGGACATGAACAAGCACTCAAAGAAGAACTATGCATTGCCTCCTGGACTGGGACAGGGATGGAAGTACTTTGGGAATATCTCTATGAGGAAAGTATGGCAGAGAAGCAGATGTGGAAAATCTAAGCAACATCAGTAATGTAAGGTTCCTATTATAACAAGCATTGTCATAACTATAATGTAAAAGGAATCCAGGGGTAAAATGACAAAACTGCTGCAAGACACACTTCTCTCTTCCCACCACAATGGAGGAGGGTCTTAAAGTTCTTCGGCCACACACCTCCTACCACGTGATCAGATACAACCTCTGGTCAGAAAAAAGTCCTTCTTCCTGCATCAAAAACACAACCCCTGTATGACCTCTGGCCAGGTACTCACTCCACCTCCCCCCCTTCCCCCCCACGTCAGCCCTCTCATAAAATCTCTGATGGGAAGCACAGATATCAAGTCAGGCTCCAAGACAAGAGCCTGCTGTGGGTATTCGGTTTTGAACCCTTTTTATCTCCCCTCTGGATTTGTTTTTGGTTAGATGCCCTGATAGTGCATAAATGAGCTGCCTCACAGCCAGAGCATTGGATTTCACAGCTCCCCTCTCACTGCCATTACATTAGGCTGGTTTGATCTGTTATTTTAAACATTTTTCACAGCACAGCAGACAAAATGAATCTAAAAAAGCCCATTTCAATTTTCCACTTGGAAAGAGCAGGGGTAACATTTTCCACTGAGCCGACTGATTATTCCTGACACTTGGTTTTTATCTTCAAGCTGCACTGGCGGTTTCCCCACAGCCTGCTTTAAGCAAGAGTCCATTTGGATTAGCAAAAAAACCAGCATATAATCTGATGCTGTCTTTCAGGAGATTTAAAAAAAGGGATACTGGGCTTTCAGAGCTCCTTAAAGTGGCTGATTTAGATAGGGAGAGTTCACTATATTGTCTGAGGAAATCCAGGAACATTCAACATTAGAGAGAAACCTTTTCCCCTCCTTTCCATTTCTGCAAGGAAGTAAGGGAAGATTCTATAAGGTGCACACAGAATAAGAGTGTGTATGAGGAAGAGGGCTAAGCCAGGCACCACTCCATTTAAGCAGATTCAAGCTTTCTGTTTCTAAAGGAAGCTGCTGGTCCCTTTGTGAGTCAACTGGAAAATCCAGGCACTAGCAAGAAATCTCAGAATAAATCCTGCCAGGGAACAGGAACTTAACCATAGGTATGTTCAGAGGTAGGAATGCAGGGAAGAAGAGGCTGTACTGGATAGAGTGTCAACCAAATTCACTAAGAGCTGACTGTGCTGATCTTACTTAGAAGTCAGTCAGCATTTCTATCTGGCCTGTAGCTATGAACCTGGCACCAATTCTCAACAGAGGTAGAGCTATGTGCACAATTTCAGGAACCAGGAGCTTTCTAACCTTGCTCTTTCTGAGGTTGGGAACTAGCCTCCACACTCTCAGGACTATTCTCAGATAGGCTCCTTTTGCCAAGCATAGCTTCTTACCATTTGCTCATCCTCCTTAGCAGCCCAGACAGCATTGTGGATCTGGTCCCCAGCCTCCTTCATCAGACGTAGTTGAACACGATGCAGGTAGGCAGAGAAAGCCCTGCGAGCCTGCACTTTGCTGAAGAAACAAAACAGTGGTCAGATACACAGCACCACATCTGGACTGTTTATGAACCTAATTATAGTCACCAAAGTCCTCTGATAAGCAGAATCATCTAAGGATGAGGAGAAAGAGGGCTTCCTTGTCCCTAATTTATTCTTAATATACCTTCATTCCAACAGGTTGGGGCAGAAGCTCCAGAGGCCACTATAGGAAAAGGCAAGTTCTATGAGCAAAAACAACTTCTGGGAATACGGTGCCCTCTTTCTCTTCCCACATCCTTAGCAGCCCAATCAGGAGTACAACCATTCGTGCACCAGCTGAACAGAATATTTCTAGCCCACTCTGAAGCACTCATGGCTCTATCTCTTTATGACAGTTTTGAGCACAGCACTCATGACCACAAATTAAACTGAAGGGCTCTGTCCCAATGACAAAGCTGTAAAGGAAGTCCTGCCATTCTTATGGCATGAGTGAGGGGACCTCTCCTCATCTAGATTAAATCTCTATAAAACAAAGGAATAATATTTGTGAAAATGTGCTTTTCCCCAACCACCCCTGAGTTACAAACTAGGCTTCACTGAGGCAGGTACAATTCAAAGAGAAAGAAACACTAAAGCAAAGCATTCCACGCAGCTGCCCAAACACATAAGAAGCTATGGAAGCGAAGCAAGGTGACCAGATGGTACAGGAGTTGGGTGGGATACACAATTTAATTCTCAGTAATTTCAATGAACACAAATTTTAAGACAAACAACTACCTAAGGCTTTGCTCAACTCCAACCATTTCTCAGGCCTGATGACGAATGGATGGGGGCAGGGGGCAAAAAAGGCAGCTGCCACAGGACCTGGTGATTCAAAAGGGCCTCAGGTTCCCAGCCTCCATTGCCAGTACTGCAGTAGCAGTAGTGGTTAGAGCCCCAGGCACTTTAAATCACCACTAGAGAGCTGAGCAGTGCACTCCAGATGGTACTAATGGCTGGTGGGAGAAGAAGGAGGGCATGGTGTGGTCTGGGCGGTGCTTTGGGCTGGTTGACTCCAGCCTTCTCCCTTCACGTCCACAGCCCTGCCCCTTCCGGAAGCACAGAACTGTCCACCCCCATCTTGCCCAAGGGCCTAGCATGTCTATTGGTCCCCCTGCCATTTGCAGCCTATCCTTCAAACCTTCCGCCATCCCTGTGAGAGCCCAGCTTTCTGCCACCACTTCCTTCCAAGGGCTCTCTGCTCCTCTCAACCACTTTATACTTTGTGGCTTTTTAAACACTTCCCTATACTTAGACAAGGTATGTTCCTGTATGGTACTCCACTTCCTGCTTTTGATTTCTCAGTACTTATATGGCCCTCATCACTATACTAGGTCAGCACCTGATCCTATTAGGGTCTCTGATCCTATATCAGGCTCCCCAGCTCAGAAGCCTGGCCTCCCTACCATACGTATCTACAAAGTGCATCTTCTAATACTATGGAAATCATGCAAAATAGCAGCAGCACCAGTATGACTACTGCATCAGCCTAAAGATGATATAGGGAGATGACCATGGAAGTTAAATGCCATGCACTGCCTGGATTCATGCATCTGCTTGGTCATTAGTTCTTCACATTTCTGAAGGCCTACCACAGTGCAAGAGAAGATTTGAGAAGATGAGGAGTTTATAGGAGGCTCAGGTTGACGTGTCTTGGTTGGGTTATCTGAGGGGTTTACTTTAACTAAAATACAAGCTTGGTCTCCGCCCTGCAATGAACTCCATTACAATGAACTATCTTTGTGGCGCCTCAGAACTCCCTGCCTTAGTGTCTAGACCAGGGCTACTCAACTTTGGAAGCCCCGGGGGCCACAATGATACTCACAGCACATGCCAAGGGCCACAATTTAGGTGTGGTTGCATATACATGCAAATATATATGCAAATAGCTACTTTCACACAAATAGGCATGACTACGTAAATTAAGGCATGACTACACAACACATAGTTTAATCCCATTTAACTCCATTCTGATCTTAATAAAATGCAATATTTACCTCATTTCCACCCATATGACAACACTTTTAATGAGCAATGACAGTCCAAATTTAATTACTAACATGCATATCAACAGAAGACAGTGTTGCAGATCCCTTCCAGGGGCATCAAAATATCTTGTGATAAAGTCTCTAAGACTTGTTGCTGTAAGAATTAGAGAACAACTCGTTGACAGCTTCTTGCCTGTATCTTGGTTTCAAAACTCAGAACCTGGACCTTCTTAATCGTGGAACCATTGGAGGCCCTTCAGAATGGGCCCTGTAAGTAGAAGGTTACATTAGTTCCTGCAACCTCTGTCTGTCTTATGCCTCAGAGGGTAGCCAAGTTAGTCTGTAACAGGAAAATCTTAGAAAACAACAAATAGGCTAGTAGCACCTTAAAGACTAACAAAACATGTAGATGGTATCATGACTGTCATCTGAAGAAGTGGGTTGTTCCCATGAAAGCTCATGATACCATCTACATGTTTTGTTAATCTTTAAAGTGGAACTAATCTATTTATTGTTTTTTAAGTTTTTCTGTCTTATGCCTGATAGTCAAAAGAAAAAAGCATTCCACAGAGGCCTTAAAAGCAAAGGCAGATACAGCTTCCTCTAATTCTCCTGAGGCTCACACAGTGGGGAATATAACGAATCCCAATAATTGTGACCACCTATTAGTACTGCTAGAAGGATAAGAGGTAGAAAAGATAACTGGCCAGGCCTAGATAGAGGATTAAAGAACATTCTGCCTTTCAGAAGGACTGCATGAGACAGGCTGGTTTCTTTCAGATGAGATTTTCATGACTTCAGTTCCTCAGACTGCTGACCCTGTAGCCAAACTTTCCATCAGTGACAAATAGACAGGGCCCAGTCCAGCACAATCCTTGTACATGAAGTCACTGCACGCTTTACGCCGTGTGAAGCTCCTTAGCTGCTTCAGGGGAATCCCAGTGGGGCTGGGTGCTGAGTAGGAATCTGCCAGTAACTTCTGACAGAAGCCTGCATTCTTAGCAGTGCTTGGCTGCCCTCAGTATGAGTGGGTGAGGTCAGCACTGCTATATCTGTCTTGAAAACCTGTTTCCAAACCACTGCCCTTCTCTTCCCCCCACCTTTCGTGACACCACAGCAGCACATGCCTCAGTCATAGCAAGATAATATAGCAACCCAAATTCCTCCTGATGTTTCCTGAGGCCTCCCAGTCTCACAGAACTAAATTGGGAAATTGGGAAAGAGGCGGCAGGTTACACAGGGGTCAATGAAAGCTTATTTTCTATAAGATATCACAAACAATGAAAACTTTATCTAGAAGAGACACAGTTATTCTGATCCCCATAAGGCAGGCCTGCACAACATGCGGCCTGCAGGGGCTCACTGTGCGGCCCGTGCCAACTACGGGCGGCGCTAGAAAAAGTTTGGGAACGTCTTCCCTATATAGTTCCAGATGGAACAACACTCCTTAAAACTGACCTCCAACATCTTTTACTTAAATCTGGGGCTTCTCATATGAATAGAATCCTGCATTGATACAACATTTGTATCATATCCAGGGCTCGACAAATGCACTTGCCTGCAGCAAGTAGATTTTATCAGCTGGCGAGTGCAGAGGCGGACTGGCCCGGTGGGCGGTTGAGACAGGCTGGCCAAAGCCCGCACTACAGGTGGCGCAGCCCCATCCGATCCACCGGCCAGGCAGAGGAGTGGCGCGCCGGGGAGGGTGAAGTGCGGCGATTCTCACTGCTGGGCTGCCTGCGTACAGCTCTGGCGCGAGGAGGCGGGGCGTGAGCCAGAGAGCAGGATGCTGGCAGATGCCAAGATGCTGGCGTGATGTGGCATCGTGACATCACGGCTGGCGACCGCCGGATTCAAAAAGGCTCTGGCAGCCCCGCAACCTGGAAGGCAGAAGCCGGGTAGGGGAGGGGAAGGTGCTTGTGCTGAGGGAAGGGGGCAGGTCAGGAGAAGGGGGCAGGCACTAAGGGGCAGGGGGAAGGAGAGACAAATGCCAGGGGGCCAAGTGGAGACATGCGTGATTTTTTTTTTTGCTTGACAAAAAATTTTAGCCCACGTATTCGGTATTTTTTGGGAGAGCATCCCTACTTGCAGCCTGCAGCTGTTTTCTTTGGAGTAATATGGCCCTCACCGCTTTCCGAGTTGTGCAGGCCTGCCATAAGGCCTGCTATTCAGTAAGGGAATATTCTCCCCCATCTTTATAATGTGCCCCTCAGCAGATAGATATTCCGGCTCCTCCACTTATCCAGAAGACTGATTATCTTCCTATCTAGTAGGCCCCACCTGGAGAGTTCCCAAACTTTCCCTGCAACCCATACTTCCCAGTACTGGACAATCAGAACTCTCATTGCTTCATCACCCTCAAAACACTTCTGTCTTGCTCTCAAGACACTGCAATTGGACATTTCAGTTGCTATTCCTAAAGTTAGGGCTTGTTTGCACAGTAAGCTTGCACAGAGTGAATCTACAGCACACCAGCTTGCTGCACAGTAACTTCACACGTAGACACTGATAAAGTGCAGTGGAAGACCCAGAGTGTGGCTCACTAATATGCTAAGCCACATTCTGGAACTTTCACTGTGCTGGAGCAGTGTCCAATGGGATATTAGTGCACAGCCAGCTGATGTGCTGTATATACACAGGCTTGCTTGCTATGCAGAAACACACAATGTGGATAAGCCCTTAGAAACATGCACTTCAAGAACAAAGGCACAAGAATGAAAAGTTGATTTTTTATGGGCGGTCAGAACAACAGGAGAATTTTATTCTCAGCCTTCATTTGTTGGCTTCATGTAAAACAAAAATACAGTAAGATGAAAAACAGAAGAGATAATGAACAAACAAAGGTTTACAGTTCAACAAGAAACACTTTGCATCAAATCAGACGCATTTTGAAGTGACCAAAGTTCTGCTCACAGCCACCTCTTAAGAGAAAATCCCATGGAGACTTCACGTCCCAATGTGCAATGCTGAGGTCACATATTCTAAGACTGGTAAGGCGAAGGCTCCTCCAGTTGTTTCCATTTTGTGTAAACTAGATGCTAAAGCAGCCTGCATTTGAGCAAAATCTAAGCACATTTGTTATAGAGCTCTACCACCTTCCTCTGTCAACTTGTAAGGGAGGGCATTACAATTGATTCAGTGCCCCCTCCTTCCTGTATTCATTGATACTAATTACTATGAGTACCAAAATAATCTGCCTACAGAATCTTACCTTAGATTCCCGTTCTCTTGCAGAATCTGTACCAAGTTAAATCGAGGCTCTGGTTTAACTTCTTGGAGAAGCAGCTCTGCTCCTCCACCTCCAGCTTTCTGTTCAGGCTCTTTCAACACGTTCTCTCGGCAGACAGCATCCATCACCTCGGACAGCTTTGGCTTGCATTTTACCTGCGTGTCCGTAAGAGAGGCAGCAGTTTCATCCCTAGTAACCTCTATTTCTTCATTCTCACGTGCCTCCTCTTCTTCATCACTCTCTGTGTCAGACTTTAGAGGCATCTCCTTTAGCTTGGAAGTCCCTAAAATGAGGAGGAAACCAATGATGAGGAATAAAAAACCCTTTCCTATTACTCATCACCCCCTTGTTTATGCCCACACTCTTTGCTACTGGAAGTCCAAGAGTGATCTGTAATAGCCCAGTCTTCACCACTGTATTTCATTTTTCACTAGAGCTTTCCACTTTAGGATCTCAAAGCAACTTACAAATCCCTCCTCCCAGGAAGTAACTGAAGGTTACTATACTCTATTTCCTCGTCTCTAAAGTAAAAACAGATAAATGACTTGTCCAGGATAATATCCTGACTTCATGGCAAAGTCAGGGTTAACACATGACCTGATCTCTGGGTTCTTATGTTAGTCTGGATTTCCTTGTCTTTGTTTACTTTCATGTTCACCAATATACTGCAGATACTGTCTCCCCTGATGACGTAGCACTGTGCACACGAGCACTTATGCCTGAAAAACTAATGTCACTCAAGAGGGTGAACCAGTTTCTTCCTTACTCCTTGGGCTTAGTCGGTGCCATGTTGGAAATCCAGCCTGGAACACCTCAGGTTTTCAGCTGCTTGCAGACGGTGACAGGAAAGAATAGGAACATACCTGGTTTCACAGACATGTCTTGATCCCAGAAAAAGGCTGTGACTACCCCATTCAGAGGGATTTACCCCCACAACCAGAGCATATGCAGATAAAACTATAGGTGGAATGGCATACCAGAGAGAGGCTGTTCAAAACGGGAATGGAGTGAAAAAAAATCAATGCTAACTATTGAGTCTCTACCTTTGTAGCATGATTCCCAGAACCAAAAGAGCCCACTAACACCAGCTTTATTAGTCTCTTTCAGCCTTACCATCTGGTAACTAGTGACAAACATCCCTTATTAGCCTGGCTTTACCCATTTGACATACACGGTCCTAGCCATAAATACCTGGTGGTCTTGCCCGTGCTGCTTTTATCTTGCTATGACACTGTCTGCGCTTCCGTACTTCCAGGGACAGAAGCTTCCTCTCATACAGCGCAGCACGAAATTGAGGATTAGAATCCACTGCTTCCAGTCCAAGACCTGCTCCCCCATTAAGAGCTGCTCTGGGAAGCATAATACAGACAGAAGCCTCAATCACCTTGTCTTGACTATTATGGCCTACATATTAGTATCTGCGTGTTACATGAGAAAAACACGGAAGCCCAGCCTTATCCTTACTCTTGGTGAAGCCCACACCATGTTAGAGCGGAAGGCTTTTTCAGGGATTTGCACAAACTGGGGGTAGCATCTCCCCAAACCATCATGGCAAGGATATAGAGGCAAGGCAAAACCCAACAAAAGTTCATGTTTCTATCACCACACCCCTACTCACTCTACAGCACATATGTGAGCTAGTAACAGTTCAGAAAACTTCTCAAATGGCAGTTGCTCTAAGCAGAAGAGCAGGGAGCCTTGAGAGAGGAACTAGAAGTATAAAGCCATGCAAGAGAGTGAGGTGAAAGATCTTGAACCTGACATTCACCTGACACAATCTCTTATGCAGATAGCTTATTCACATGGACAAAGTGCCAGCTCTTGTGCAAGTCCTGTCCCAATCTAAACAAAAACCCTGAGGCATTGCATTGCTCAGTGGAAAGACAGAAGCATGACAACTGACCCAGAGCAAAGAGCTCCAGCAGAAAGCCCCTCTGAGTGTAACTAGAGCACGCACAGAGGTCCTACTGCTTTTCCCTCTGTTTCCCTCTCCTTTGGGATCTACCAACAAAAAAAACAAACAAAAAAACATGGATAGAGCCCTGTGTGGATTCAAAATTTGTATGCATGTCTGCACCCATATTGACAAAACTGAGCTGCAGATGTCTATATTCACATCTGCAGATGTGGATACCCGTGGATATAAAGCAGATATCCACAAATTTGCAGGGTTCTAGATACAAAATTTGTGTCTGCATCTGTATTTGCAAAAATGAGTTGTGGACATCTGCATCCACGACTGTGGATATAAAGTGGATATCCGCAAATTTGCGGAGCTCTAGACATGGACACTTGAGGTCTATGAAGTGTCAGCCCTTATAGAAGGAACAATCTGCACCATTCTGTATCACATGGGAGGGTCTGATTATGAGCAATAGAGACCCTCTAATGTGCTAGGAGTTTTCTGCTATGAGACATGAGAGAAACCCTGTCACCTAAAAAATTAGCTCTCAAAGAGCAGGGCAATTGGTTATTCATGGGACTGAATTTACAAAGCTGATTCTGAGGAGGAGGGCAACTTCAGTGTCAGGTTTTCCCACACAAATCTACCTAATGATGGCAGGATGAGTGCTGGGGCTCCAAGCTGCTGGCTTGGGTGCAGTGAGTTTATGCCTGAGCAGTGTGAACTGTAAAGCCCTTCAAATGTAGAAATTCTATATTTAAATAGCCACTTACCGGGCTCTTCCAGCAACTGGGCCTCGTCTCATCCTGGCCCTGCAGAGGAAGAAAGGACAGAAGATTACAGAACAGCACCAAAAGCTCATTGTAGATCATTGCAAGATTTGCCAAGCTGTCCAAGGGAAGTCACCTAAATTTGCAGAGTTCCCTGAAAATCCCACCTCATAAATGGATGAATAGGGCCTGATACAGGAAGTCCAAATAGCTCTCTTTCAATAGAAATTTATTTTACTTTAGGTCACACTGAAGGATCTGTCAGTTGGAGGCAAAGGGCCATAAACATCCTGCAAAGCATGAATGCAAGCAAAATTACATTCCTAATGCTGGCATGCCTCCTATAAGTGACTTCAAACATGATGCCCCCTCTCTTCATCAGCACTATCACTCCCAAATGGGTTTCTTGTGTAGCCCAGATCTGGGAGAGAGAAGTCTGGAGACCCAGACGCAGGACCACTGATGCTGGATGCAGCGTTCAGTGAAGGTCCACATAGCAGCATGCATTGCAATGTCTTTCAGAGTGCTGAGTGAAGAGGCGGGGTTTCCAACAATGGTTGCACAGGTGACGGTACAGGCGGCAGTAGCTCTGGAGAAGGCTCCAGTGCCTATCCTACAAGAAGGGAGCATTTTGTGGTGTGAATTCAAAGAAAGGGGATAAGGAATCATTTCACCCTTGGTACAACCCTTGGTGGCTTCTAAGCCTGTAAACATCTGCCTCCCTTTTTATACAATGCCACTGAACATTCCTTATTCAATGCACCCTCTTCCTCTTCCCTCCCTGTCCCATGGTTCCTTTGCCCACCATGCTGTGCATCCCCTTCTCCTCCCACAAGTGCCCAAAGTAGGGATGCAAGCAAGTAGTTGAGTACTCGACTACTCACTTTCCAGCCCCGCTTGATGTCTCTGTATCAGAAGCAGCAAGGAGAGCAAGGAGGAACAGCTTAAAACAGTGAGCTTAAAAGCCAGTTACCTCCAGCACCATCTCCGCAGGGCCGCCTGCATCTTCCCCACTGCTACTGCTTCTATCAGAGGAAGCAACAGGGTCGTGGATAGGGGAGGCTGCCACAGGGCAGCCTCTTCCCACAGTGACCGAGCAATCCCGGCTCATGCCAGTCCGGGACATACCCCTGCTGCAGCTCTGCAGTTTAAATGTAGTAGGAGCTGACTTACCTGCCCGCCCAACTCTTACTACATTTAAACTGCGGAGCTGCAGCAGGAGTAGCTCCTGGACCAGCGCAAGCCAGGACAGAGCACCTTCCTTTATAATATAAATTGTATTATCTACACGATTAGTCAGTTACCCACCTCTTAACATCCCTAGCCCAAAGATTGGCTTCTCCAAGAATTAGGGAATCTCTGAAGACTTTGTTTGGAAGGATAAATATATTTGTATTCACTGGAATACTGAGGAAATAGTGTGAGGCTATTCTCATTACAGGCCACAGCCCAGCAACCAACGATACTGTAGCTATTTAGAGCTACTCCTTTTTGCTCTATTTCAGTCCTTTCTATCCCTCTCCCAGAAGGTGTCTCCCTCCAGTGAAGGCTGCCAGAGCCAACAGTTTCCTACCTGTCCTGGAAGAGACGTATGGACAGCATATAATTCATTGTTGTCTTGTGCTCTAAGTAGGATCTGGAAAGGAAAGTGGAAGAGACCGATTAAAGCTCAGGACAAAATAATGAAAAGGTGAAGGAGGCCTTGCATAGAGAGAAGACATTCATAAAATACATCCCTATCAGAAAGGCACTGAAACAATACAATGTAATGGAAAAAGCAAGGGGAGAAGAGGAAGGCAATCACTGTTTGGCACCTAAATAGGGAGAGACAGGTACAGTGTGTGGTGAACAAAGGAAACCAGAACACAAAGCAAAAAGAAAAGCAGAACCTAGCATCACCTAAGGTGAGGCCCATTGTCTACCTATGGCTCTGAAAGTGGGATACACAGCATGCATAAAGATAAACACAGTAGGGATCTAAGAGTTTAATCGACTAGTCGACTATCCAATAAGCAAAAGCTTATCAGATAGTTGACACACTAGTCAACTTGTTGCCTCTATCATGGGGAGGAAGAAGAGGGAGTACTGGGAAAGCCGGCTTAAAAACCAGTTCCCCCCATGTCCAGCTCTGTGGGAGGGGGCAAGGGCGCAGCAACAGCCACCTTTGAAATGTACAACTTTGAAATGAAATGTTTCAAAGACTGAAACGCCGCATGGAGCCCAGGGCCAGCAGGGATTTCCCCCGCTCACCCCAGGCTCCATACAGCGTTTCAATCTTTGAAATGCACAAGAGAGCGCGCTGGGGCTCTTGTACATTTCAAAAGTGGAACATACTCGTCTTTATCAACTAATCCATTAGTCAATGGAAATCCCATTGACTATTCGATTAGTTAATTAACCTACATTTAACATCCCTAAAACAGAGGTCACAGGGGGAGTTGACAGTTCAGTTCCCCATCCCCAACTGCTAACCTGGTTTTAACTTGTGTACAAGTCCTGTAAGCCAAAACAAAGCATCAGTGAAACACTGAGTTTTCTCCTCACCCATAAAGATCCCATGTTAATGGCGTTGGGAATATCCGGATGAAACCCCCTCTCCGCTCATTCTCCTCCTTCACGCGACGCAGAACTTTTATCTGGGATCAGAGAAAGAAACAAGAGTCAAAGTGAAACAGATATTAGGACTGAAATTTTCTACATGGCAGCTTCATCCTCTGGAATCAAAACCCTGCAATTAGTCCTGTAGCTGTGGGAACAACTAGTGTAAATTTGGCATAATTATCTGACATGTAGGCTCCTAAGGCTTTTTAGAGCATATATGCACTCTTGTCAGAGCAGGGGGAAGAGGCCCTCCTAGGTTGGTGCCACTATTATCAGTAAAATTCAACAGTTTCACTCTGAGAACATGCCATTTTCTAAAAGGTCTCCCTTATCACTTTTGTTTGTCCCACACTGGGGCTAGACAGCTCTCTCGTGAGCCAGTGAATACTTGGCTGCAGCAACTGTTAATCCAAAATTATTAAATTACTTGTGTTCCCTTCATCCCCACATGTTGTCCCAAAGCCAAGGTACATATAATACCAAATATTTTACAGCCCTTACCTCCTCCATGGACAGGCCCAGCATGGATCCACTTTGCTTTCCAACTACCTTTTCCTTGCCTGAGGGCATCACATTTTTCACCTCAGCATCACTGGCAGACAGAGGGCGGGCACGCTGTAGAGACAGAGTCTGAATCCATAAGATACATTTAGAAAAGGGAAAAAAGTATTTTAAACATTAATAGCTAAATATAAATTCCAAGCCCCCATACTCAGCAGAATCTATATTCAGGGCTGTCCCAAGGTGGGCACAGACCCAGGGGCAACCCCTAACCAGTGCCCCAAGTACAGGCCGCACCCCTTCCCCAAGTCCTGTCCCTGCTCCAAATGGCCTCCCCCTCTCTATGAAGCCTGGAGGATTACTGGAATGCAGCCTGGCGCGCCTGGCGCAATGGAAACAGGGCTACCCCTTGTCCCCCATTCATCATGGCAGTGGGAGCCAGAACAGCCCGGAAGCATGCTCTGCTCTGCCCTGTGCACTGCCATCCCAGCTCACTGTGTCCCACTTCTCCATGAAGGCAGGATGCAGAATACCCTGAAGCTGTGACACTCTGCTTCTTGCTGTCTCTGAGAACCCACATGCAACAGGTTGGGAGAGGGCAATGTAGACTTGTCCCCCATTCATCATGGCAGTGGGAGCCAGAACAGCCCGGAAGCATGCTCTGCTCTGCCCTGTGCACTGCCATCCCAGCTCACTGTGTCCCACTTCTCCATGAAGGCAGGATGCAGAATACCCTGAAGCTGTGACACTCTGCTTCTTGCTGTCTCTGAGAACCCACATGCAACAGGTTGGGAGAGGGCAATGTAGAGTAGGCTCTGCAGTGCAGGCAGGGGGTTAACTCCTGGTGCTGCTGCTGCACCAGGCCCCCAACCCCAGATAATCCTGTAGGTCCCATCCAGAGAATTGTTGGAATGACCGCCGCAGGTCTCTCAAGAGTTAGGGGTCTGGTGTGGCCCCCCAAACTGTCCTATGGATGAGACTAGACAGTTATGTCCATGCTCCAGGACACCAGAGCCAGGATTCACACTCCCAGCACAGCATGCTGTACATCCCATTGGGCATTAATGTCAGAGTTTTTGAGAACAGCAGGATCCCAGACCTTAGTGCCAGCATTCACACACCTAAACCCTTTGAGAAAACCATGACATCCCCAAGAGACACTGCTTCCAGCCAGCCATTTTCACTTCCAGCCCTCAACAACAGAAAGATTCACACCCAAATGGTCATCAGAACCAGGATTAACAGTCCCAGGTGACAGGTTAAGTGGGATCCACATCCCCATAACACCAGGGTCATGATTCACCCTCTTAGTCAGGCTGTAAACTCTCTAGTAATTAATTAGTGAGATGAAACTGGAAGAAAAAAGGTTAGACATTCACTTCACTATTCATAACTCTCTTTTCTTAGCTCACAAATCTGAAAGACCACAATCTGATGCTCCTGAGACTCAGCAGAAAGACCTTTTTTCTTCACGCAGCCATACTTCACAGCTAAGTGGTTAACACTGTCAGCACAGACACAGAAGGCAAAGAGAGTCAAGAAAAGCAAAAAACTAAAAAAGGAAGGTGTCATAAATAGGAGCTGCTAAGGAGAGTCTGACTTACCTGAAGAGTGAGGAAAAGGTTAAGCAACTAGAAATGCACCTAGAACTGGGGTTTGGGCAGTCAGCCAATAAAAATACAGATAGGAATTTCAAACCAGAACAGAGGGGTTTCTCTTTCTCTCTTCTTTGTTTGAGATCAGAGCAGTTTCTCCCAGGTATTGAGGAGGAGGATCTCTCTCCCCAAGAACAGACTTCTTGGAATGTGTAAGTAGGGAAAAGTTTAGATGGTCCATCAGAGTTATTGTTTTCCTTGTTTGGGCATTTGGAAATCATGTCTGAGCTGGCTAATTGTTTTTCTCTTTTGTAACTAAGGATTACAGCCCAGGGTTTTCCCCCGGGTCTATGTCAGTGGTGCGCAAACTTTTTTCAACCCCGACCCCCCTATACTCGTGTCATGGACCCCCCAAGATAATTTGAGCAGTGCAATGCAGTGCTTAGATCCGGGCAGCCGGGGGCTGGGATCGGCCATGGGTGGCCCCATAGCATGGCATGGTGCTTAGATCTGGCTGGCCGGGGGCTGGGCCCGGACATTGACAGACCCCCAGGAAGACATCTGCGGATTGCGCACCACTGGCCTATGTCATTTCATGGCTCTTTACCACCTAGTCAATTTACTATGCTTGCAACAATAGTTTTGTTTTCATAATAAAGAGTTTTCCTTTTGTTTTGATTAATTGCTGTGTCCTGAATTTTACGTGCCTAGTTACCCAGGCAGAGTCCATTGTTCTCTGCAGATTCCCTCTGTTTGTTTTCCCAACTCCAAGAAAAACGGAGACTGGGGACATGGGGAGGGAGGGGATTCCTAAATGATCTCTTCCCTGGAAAAGGGTTTATTTTATATTTTCTTTTAGTCACTTGGGTGGTGGCAGCAAGGAACCAGTCCTTTGTCCTTTTTTTGGATCTCAGAGGGACTGATATCGAACAAGTTTGTCTCTGGGAGTCACTTAGACAGGTTTGCAGAGTTTATTCTATTAGCCGCCTCCCCCCCAAATGACGTCTGCATTTGGAGTGTCAGGTTGGGGAACTGAGCTGTCACAGAAGGGTTTGCAGAAGTTCTAGCAAAGAAAGTCTTAACCTGAAGTCATAAGTCAGTGCCTCATATGTCACAACAGATCAAAGTATGAGCCTAGAATAAAAAATATTCCAAAGGCTGCAGAACTGCCAGGTCCTAAGAAACTGACAAAAACCTAAAAACAACTTTAAAAAACCCAAAAGCTTAGATTAGTGTGTCTGAATACAATCTGACAGTTTAACTGGGCCCTCAGCACAGTGCATAGGCTTCCTCTATAGAAAGACACAAAATAGACTGAACCTAAGGTCTCTCATTCCTCCAGATGGCATTCAAACCCCTTCTTAGCATAGAAGTGAAAGATGTATGAGAAAGTAACCTCAAAGCCCTGATCTATACTAGGGAGTTATTTTGAAATAACCTCCCTTATTTCAAAATAATTAGAGCGTCCACACTACCAACCCCCTTATTTCAAAATAACAGGCTGGTTATTTTGAAATCTGCACTCCTGTTTTCCTTGGGAAATAAGCTTATTTTCAAAATAGATATTTCGGGAGTTATTTTTTCAAATTTAGTTATTTTGAAATTATTTCCTAGTGTAGACATTCCCAAATTGATTAAACCATCAGACTAATACCACAGAACACATATTGAAATGAAGATGAATGCTGGATCCAGTTGTATTTTTATTTGTAAGGATCATCTGGGCCGGTAACTAAAACCACAGGATTTCATTGTGGCAACCTTCACAGAAAGTACAAGCACAATGACAGAAGCTGAAAACAGAGCAGTTGCAACAAGAATGGATGTTGCTCGGGAGCAGGCTGGTCAAGCTACTCAGAGGTGATTAATGTGGTGAGAACCAGAGGGGAAGCTGAAATAGCAGGTGCCAACTAAAAATGTTTCATTACAGCTTACTGAAAAGTGATTAGAAAGGAAGGACCCCAAAACGGGCTGGCTGAGAAAAAAATTAAATGAATAAACAGGAGGCACAAGAGTCATCAAATCTGAAGGCCAGAATGGATCACTAGATCATCTCATTTGTGTGCGTATCATAAGCCATAGACACATAACAAGTACAATTAGACCAAAGCTTTACAACCCACAGGAAAATAGATTATTATGTGCCACAGGCAAAGAATGGGAGGGACCAAGGTGCATCAGTGCTCAAGACCCCTACAATGGTTAAATGAGAAAAATGGTTAAATGAGATATACCCAGATGATCCTGTCAAGTGACCCAGGTGCACAGGAAGATAGAACACCCCAAGATCACTGCAATTCTGATCCGATCTAAAAAATTGTGATTGGTCAGGCCCTGATCATGTTGGTTATTCCATATAGGGAAGTTACTCACCTTGTGCAGTAACAATGTTTTTTCGAGATGCATGTCCCTGTGGGTGCTTCGCTGGTTGTCTCAGCACCACAGATTGGAGTTTTCCATAGCAGTAGGTGGTTGGGTCATGCATGTGCACTAGGCTCCTCATGCCGTTCACACCTAGCACTTTGTGTGTGCAGCTCAACCGTACTCAGTTCCTTGTCTATGCCCAAGTATCTAGAAAAAGAGGAAACAAAACTCCAAAGAACAGGGGAGGAGGGTTGGTAGTGGAGCACCCATGAGGACTCACATCTCGAAGAACCAGTGCTACTGCACAAGGTGAGTAATTTCCCTTTCTTCTTCGAGTGTTATCTCCAGGGGTGCTCCACTGTAGGTGACTGTACAGCAGTAATCAAAATGAAAGGTAGGTAGGCTTCAGAGTCACGATTTATTGGCGGTGGAAAGCACTGCAGCGGCTACTGAGACATCCATGGGCAGATGCAGGAGAACAGCATAGTGCTTCTTAAAAGTGTGGTTCGATGACCATGTAGCAGCACAACAAATGTCCTGAAGGGGAGTGCCCCTGAAGAAAGGAGGTGGATGTTGATACAACTCTAGTGGAGTGCATGCTTGGTGGAATGAGGAGTGTTTTGTTCCGTAGAAAATAGCCCTGGTGATACAGGAGACAATGATTTTGAAGATATGCTGTGATGAAATCTCCCCTTGGAGCGCTCAGCAACCAATACGAAGATATGTTGTGATGCACGGAAGGCCTTGGTTCTATCTACATAGAAGGAAAGAGCCCTGCAAACATCCAAGATGTACAGGACTGCATATTGGTGGGATGAATGAGGTTTAGGGTAATAAGGAGCTCTGACCACACCTTCGGTAGAAAGGAAGGGTGACATCGCAGTATGACACTGTCCTTACTGAAGATAGTATAAGAAGGTGGCACTGTAAGGACCGCAAGTTCACTCACCCTGTGGTCAGCAAGAAGGCAACCTTCATGGTCATCAGAGTCATAGGGCAGGTCACCAAGGGTTTGAGTGGGGGTTGAGTGAGGGTATGTCTACACTACAATGTTAGTTCAAACTAACAGACGTTAGTTCAAACTAACATTCATAGCCGCTACACTAGCGCTCCGCTAGTTCGAATTTGAATCAAACTAGCGGAGCGCTTAGTTCGAACTAGGAAAACCTC